CAGCTTTCAGAGAGGCTTTGTCGTGGCAACTCTAGTCTTTTCTACGCGCCCTCTATTCTTGTATATAAGCGCGCCAGATAAAGCGAGACAAGGAATCGGAACGAGAAAAATACAGATTGAAGAGATAGAGACAAATAATCGAGTCAGGTCGTAAGTAAAGTGCGTGAATCGTTGTGAATTATAGCGTGTGTTAAGGTAAAGTGACTGTGGAAATTAAGTGTGTTGCAAAGTTGTATTGAGAAAGAATAAACTAGTTTTATTTAAGGAAGAACTTGTATCGCTGAAGTTCTTCGGGAAGAAATTTTACGGGAAATTAACAAACGAACAGAGACGTAACAATAATACAAATTTCAGTACACTTAGTGAAGTTTTATTTCTTGAATTTCAAGATCTACAATTTGTTTATTGATAGGCCTTGGTTGACACTAGTCGCTAATACAACATTTCACTTATTTACTAATTGCTACACCCCCTATCGAAATCCTGTTTTTAACGTTATGAGTCCGGAGACTTACCACTCAGCCAATGGGAGGCTACTTACTAATTTCTCTCGAAAGTACAACGAATGAACACCACGTCATTTTTGCTCCTCATTAAAATTTAAGGATTTTGCAAAATATATCAAGTTTCAGTTGGTGAAATGTATAACTTAGGTTTATTAAAACTTTTTCGTTATTTTTAACATGATTTTAAAATTAGATAATAATGAGATTTGTAAAACGACAAATTAAAATTTGTGCTAACACTGACTGGCTAAACTAGAAATACCAATAATAAAAAGTATTGTTACGTCTCCATTTGTTAATTTATTTTCCGTAACTTCGTTCCGACGAAACTTAAGCCACACAAGTCCTTTCTTAATAAAACTGGTTTATTTTTTCCTAATATAACTTTACCGATACACTCAACTTCAACAATCGCGCTAAACAAACGCTATAACAACGAACGTGCTCAATAATACTTCTGACTGCAGATCAAATACTCACTGTCGACACACACACATTCCCGCGTCACGTTGTCACCCTCTTATATATATCAGACTACCCTATCTAGTAAATGCTAGGGCATTCGTGAAGGAACAAGATAGTTCTAGAAACTAGAGGGCGTGAGAATAGTCACGTGATCTCGATGACGCCACAGTATAATGTATTGATTACTTATTAAACTTTATCATCTTTAATTGATTTAGTGATTATCTTGGGTATGATAAGACAATTAAAATTACACACAGACGAAGCAAAAGTTACCTGGTTGAACTAAAGTGCAGAGATTTTACATGGAATTATATGGGGATCAGGTGGTATGACGTCGTACGTCAGAAAATGTGACATTTATAAATTTAAAATGGTGCAATTCCTGAAATTTATATGGCAGATCCTGGACATCTAGCCTATGCCAACCGTAAAATGATCAAATATATTGTAGATACCTGAATTTCGTTCCAATATTTATAAATAATAAATGGTATAGTAAATTACAAAATTCGTTACTTTTAGATTAGCGATCTATACTACCCAATGAATTACATCCCAGAAAAAGCTTTGAAGAAAATTCACACGTTTGCTCATCTCATGAAAACATGTTTTGTCAGAGCATGGCTGGTTAGAGCGGATGTTAAATGCTAACCATGTTAAATGTTAACCTGAGCACGTGATGAGTCGTGCTTACACTTTTAAGTTGTAGCTACATGAAAGTGACATGGTTGACTCACTTTTAACTTAGAAAACTATGTGATGTCACATGGCTTCACTAGAAATTATAACGACCAATAAGAAAAGACTTTCGTTCGATGCTATGTCTTCGTAAAATACACCCGCTATATATTCGTGCAAGTTTACAACAAGGAACTTTTAAACTAGTATTAGTAGAAGGCTTAAGTTATAGTAAGTATACGATCAAATATTAGTATCAACACAATTTCAGAAACATTTAAGGAAGTATGAGTAGTGAAAACTTCATGAGTGAAAATAGTAACTCTTTAAACTTTAAATTAAAAGATCAAACAGAAAAACTACGGTATATTTATGATCTCCCCTGGCCAGTCCGAAAAGAGCTTTGCAGAGTGCTTGACGCTGATGAAAAGTGGGAAGAGTTAGGTAGGCAACTTTTGATTTCATGTAATTTTTTCTTTCAAAAGAAAACAATTTGAGAAATCTCATCCCGACCTCGTTTGACAATTTGTCCATTCCAGATACCATCCTAATACTAATACTATAGCCCTCCTCTGAATCCTTTTCAAAAATCAGTGCCCTTCCTAAGGTAAGGAGCCCAGCCCCAAGAGAGCATGGTCTGGAGGTTAGGACACTCGACACACATTTTGGTCACAATCTGTCATCAAACATGCTTGCCCTTAAAGACACGGGGGCATTATATTGTGACTGTTAATCCCGCTATTCATTGATAAAAAGAGTAGCTCAAGAGTTGGCTGTGGGTGGTATTGACTAGCTGCCCTCCATCTGGTCTATCCCTGCTAAATTAGTGATGGCCAGTGCAGGTAGCTCTCACGTAGCTTTGTGTGAAATTCAAAACAAAACAAACCCAAGATTGAATACAATACTCCAAATGAGGATGATCAAATGACCTGTACAATGAAATTATAAACGTTTTAGATGTGTATTGAATTTCTGTATATTCAACCTAAAATCCTTTTTGCTGTACCACTTGTAACAGCACACTGCTAGGATGGCTAAACAATTAGAACACCAAGATCCTTTTCTTTCGTAACACTGTTAAAGTTATTTCCATCAAAATTAGTCTTGTAATTAAAATTATAATAGTCCACATGCATTACCTTACATTTATTATAATTAAAAAACATCTGACATTTATTACCCAACTCACCAAATAAATATTTTTGTAAAGCAGCAGCATCTTTCTCACAATCGCAAACTCCAAAAAACCTTAATTCACAAATTTAAGTAATTTGTTGACCATTCCTTCACCCATGTCATTGATGTAAAGCAAAAAGAGCAAAGGCTCTAAGACTGAGCCCCTGACATACTCCACTTGTGATATTAATCCAGTTTGACTGAACTCCATGTATAACAACCCTCTGCTTTCTTCCATCCAGCCTTTTTTCTATCCAATGAGCTAATCTATGCCCCCCACACCTACAACGATAATTTTTTTAAGAAGCTTTTTATGTGGTACTTTAAAAATTGAAGAAAATTTTGAATTTAATAACTCGGTCATCTCATAATTACTACTAATATTTACATTTTCAGCTAACCTATCACTGTACACTCTCACTGTAGAGTTTATCTTTAGTGTTGTCTGGTGGTCCGTAACAGATTCCAACCAAAAGTCTTTTCTCTTTATACCTTCCAGTAAAAACCCAAGTAGAATCGATCTAGTTAATAGCTCTGATATCTTCACCTTCAACAGGTTATATCTCACAATTTACATATAACGCCACTCCTTTCCCTATTTGTTTTTATATTCTATCCCGGTTAAATAACCTATAACCTGTATTTCAAAGTGCAACTATAAAAATGCAAGTTGTAACTATAAGTGTGACTCCGTGTAAGTCTGAAGGCTTAAAATGTTAAAAATCAAAAAACAGTTTTTGATAAACATGGTGGGCACAATACAGATAGCTTTGTGCTTAATAACAAACAATACATAATGTGTAATAGTTAAAACAGTATAAGTAGTTGAGTGCAGTACGTTTCTCCACATTATGGACTTACGCGTACTTGTGGTCTGACAAATTTTGACATTTTGGCCTACTGTTCTAAAAATTTACTAATTATGAGAAAATAATATATCTACTTCCTTTCACAGTGCCAAAAAATTTTGTGAATAAAGATTATTATATGAAATAATAATATAAATATTATATATGATCAATTTTCATGGAATTTAGACAAGTATGAAAATATTAATTATTGTAGCAGAGGAAATAATTTATAATCAAATGTGTTGTGTTTTATGGAAATTAGAATAACTTATTAAATATACTGTTCTTACATTTCTACTTACTCTTTCTGTAAGCTAAAAGTAAAAATAATTGTATTAACCATTCCAACCAATATCATTAATGAAAGAAACATTACAGAAAGAATAAAGAACCAATACATATGGAACACACAAACATTAGTGTTAGCTTTGTGTAATGTCACAGATTTGCTGGCTTATTAGATAAATAGCTGTGTTTCTGCTATTTGTGTTTCTGGCTTGTTGCAAAGTGGTCAGTGTCTAAAGGGAATAAGTTTGTTTTAGCAAAAGCTAACTTGATTTACTTATTTCATAACTGTTTTGAAACAACAGTTGTTTAATGCTGTGTTCTGTGTTTCTTTATAAATCAGCTTACATTGAAGTTTATGTATTCCAAGTAGTTCTTTTCTTTAGTTTCTCAGCTAATTACAAAATGTGATTATCTCAGGAAGTGTAAATAAGGAATAAACTCAGATTTATTTTAAAATTTTTTTTGTGTTTTGTTAATTGTAATAAGATTCGATGGTTTTTGTTATCTATAGGTGCACAGTACCTGGGTTTTGATATAACATCACTGACTTTAATTGGTAGAAGCAAAAGTCCAACAGATGAACTGCTTAGTAGGTGGGGCATAAAAAATGGTACAATTAATCATCTGTTTCTTTATCTTTCCAAAATGGATCATCAGAGAGCCATGTCTATTCTAAAACCTTGTGGTGAGTGTGTGTTCTGTTTATTATGTGTAGCTATCATTAGCTTTTAGAACTTTAATACAAAATATGTTTTATTGATTACGCAGGTCTGTGATGGTTTTATTATATGTTCTATAGTAATTCCTGTATGCTGAATCTGAAAATGATATCCATTTTTCTCCATCACTACAGACTTTTCACAAAATGTCCTATATACTTTTTCATAGGTGAATCATTTTCATTGAAATCGGGTCACATTTTGTTATGTTTAAAATCATGACAACCACTGGTTATAGATTTCTCTAGACCATTCTTGACGAAAGAGTCTTATCGATCATCCTAGAACCCACGAGAAACACACTGTTAGTATATAAACTGTTAACAGGCTGCATGACGTGATATTTCTGGATAGTGTTTATTTGTGTGCGCACTTTGACATTATTTTTTCTTTTCAATATTATTTATTTGTTGGTATAGCAACAAGAGGTTGTGTAAATGACCCAAACATATTCTGTTATATTTGTTGTAAATTTGATCCAAGTAAGTTTTTTTTTTCTCGATTTGTAAAAAAATCCTTACTAGATTGAAAAAAAATTAATATTGTATTTGAAATCTGCTTAGCTGAATTATGGAAAATCCGTTATTAAAACCAAAACAACTTTTCTGAAGTTTAAGTTTGCAGGCCTGTGTTATTTGTAACTTCGTATTTTAATCACTTACTTAAGTTCATGCTTATATTTTTGATATATTTACTACATTGTTTGTAGCTGCCATCAGTTGATTATTGTATTACCTCAACAAATTATATACATTATATTTGAATTCCAAAACTTCTGGGTAAAAGTGCACGAAAGCTACGTGTACAGAAATAAATGTGTCACTTTACATTAGAGTTGAATACAAATTTTCATGAACTTTTATTTTAATTTTTCATCAATCCATCCGGAATGATTTCTGTAACAAACTTTTGATTTGTTTCTGTCTATTAAAATTATTATGATCTGTGAAATAGCAAATCAGTAAATGAGTATATTATGCCTTAGTCTTCACGCTGTTATGTTTCTTTTGTAGTACCAGGGGTATTATTTGTATTTTCTAAACCACAGAAATAATCCAGATTCAAGCTCCATCTGGACTTGCCTAGTATGAATTTATGTATTTCAGAATTAATTACAAAAACTTGTAATAGCTATAGAGGAAAACTTATAATTCTCGATGGTACTTAATAGCCACCTGCTGGCCTAAATTAGTCAGTGGCAACCACTATCCCGAGCACCTTTTTAAAAAGTCATTTGAGTGTTGCATATATATGTGTGTGTTGTTTTATTTCTGTGTATTTGTTCAAGATCCCTGTAGAGCTAGCTAGTATAAAAATATGAAATGTAATGGTACTACATACAGTTCATAATCCCACCATAGTCCTAATGTAATGGTACTACATACAGTTCATAATCCCACTGTAGTCCTAATGTAATGGTACTACATACAGTTCATAATCCCACCATAGTCCTAATGTAATGGTACTACATACAGTTCATAATCCCACCATAGTCCTAATGTAATGGTACTACATACAGTTCATAATCCCACTATAGTCCTAATGTAATGGTACTACATACAGTTCTAATCCCACCATAGACCTAATGTAATGGTACTACATACAGTTCATAATCCCACTGTAGTCCTAATGTAATGGTACTAAATACAGTTCATAATCCCACCATAGTCCTAATGTAATGGTACTACATACAGTTCATAATCCCACCATAGACCTAATGTAATGGTACTACATACAGTTCATTATCCCACCATAGTCCTAATGTAATGGTACTACATACAGTTCATAATCCCACCATAGTCCTAATGTAATGGTACTACATACAGTAACCTCCATGTTTCAAAAAAAATATTTGCCTGATTTAATTTGATCAAACCATTTTTTATTAGCCCAAATTTATTTGCATGTTATCATGTGTTACAATTGGCTATGAAAAAGCTAAATAATAATACCTGCCTTTTTTGGAACTCATTTCCCCCCAAAATGGGGTTAATTCCCTGGTTTTTGTCTTCTGCAGGACATTTGGATTGAGAGTATCAAACAACGCTGCTATATAATACAATTGGTGAACCACCAGAGTTAATATGTACATTTAATTGACGTGTCTTATATTGAAAATAAATATATATTTTGATTAATGTTACAAATCTCGTGAAATCGTGATATTATTATAGTAGCATTAAAATATTTCTATTAATAGGTGTGGCTTCTGTTTTAGTTATTATTAAAGTTTTTCATGAAATCTTACAGAGCAGACATTATTTCTGACATGAGGTCTGTTTCTTGGCTGTTTAAAATGTATATAATTCTGAATGATAGATAAGTTTTGGTATTTATTGTGTGTTTCAAAACTAGTAGACGCGTTCTGTAGCTACCGATTGCACATTACAAACTGATAGTTGAAAGCGATCATAGAAACAGACTGATTTCCAGATCTAGTAACACACACACGTTCCACCTCACCTGTTTTGACTATAGTCATCTTTTGACAATCAACTTGTGTTCTTTTCTATAATTTTCCAGTTGATCCTAAGTACCACTGTTTTATAAGGAATAGCTTTCCTATAACAACGAAAATGGCAGCTTGTGGGGGAAAGGAAAATGAGAAAAATATTTCTACATCTCCATTTGGTCAGAAATTGACTACTTCAGATTCTCAGGTTTGTTTAAAGTGGCTAATATATTGTTACGTCTCTGTATGTTTGTTTGTTAATTCTTCTAAGATACAAGTCCTTTCTTTATAAAACTTGTTTATTCTTCCTCAATACAACTTTGTAATGTACTTAATTTTCACAGTTACCCACACTATAGTTCACAACAATTCACTCACTTTCTATCATGCTTAGACTTAATTGTCCGTCCCCGCAAACTATAGTTCCGATCTCTGTGTCTGTTATCCACAGTTCCCGCCGACCGTAATCGCTGTCTTTCTTTCTCTCTGCCTGCTTCGTCTCCGCTACGTCTCTGTCTCCACTACAGCTTCGACTCCGTCTGTCTCTCTCACTGTCTAGCTCACTTATATACGATAATACTGCCTGTTCTAGAAACTTCTAAGACTCTCAACACGTGCTACCAGCGTCAGTTGATGCAACGCTGTCGCAACACACTAGCGAATCTTCTAGAATATTCGTCACGTGACCCCGCTGTCGTAACACACTAGCGAATCTTTTAGAATACTCATCACGTGACCCCCCACTGTCATAACAATATATATACACCTTCATATAATGTATATGTTAGTATTTTTGTTCGGAATTGTTAGTAACTAGTGTAAGATAAAAAGCTCTGGATCCTAGATTTAAGCCATATCAAAAAGTTGACTGTTATTAGCACATTATACAGTCTATCTTATGTGATGCCGTACAGTTAAGTCAAAAAGTTGACTGTTATTAGCACATTATACAGTCTATCTTATCTGATGCTGTACAGTTAAGTCAAAAAGTTGACTGTTATTAGCACATTATACAGTCTATTTTATCTGATGCTGTACAGTTAAGTCAAAAAGTTGACTGTTATTAGCACATTATACAG